CGGCCGACATTTGAAACCATGATAAAAACAACCGTTAAACTAATGAGATAAAGCATGTATATTTATCAGATAATTATCAGGAAGTGTCACTACAAATGATGCAAGTCAATAAGAATAACAACAATGAGACAACTGATGACTAAAAAAACAAGATGTAAATACCAGTAAAACTTACGATAGGATACCCCCTCCCAGGTTGTTTGGGCACGTCTGAGAAAGAGCGACAAAATGAGAACTGTGAACTAGAGTTATTTGTTTTAGTTCTTGGGTATTCTTCTGCAAAAATCATTGAAAACCAACTTCAACAACATAAAACTTCAAGAAAACAAGGAAAGCCTTTATAGATAAACGGTAAACCACAAACATAGAAGACGCAAAGCAATAAATTTGAAGTATGCGTTCGACCTAGGAAAACTTAGATGTTACCACACAGAATTTCAGACTGTTTACAACCCACAGATGACTTTTGCAAATTAATAAAATTACTGTGGACAATAGTGTGGCCTCAGTTTTTAAAATATGGAAAGACATTTATGTTACCTGCGTACTTCTATCTGAAGCCGTACCTGTATCCAACACTTACCCGTGCACGTACCCACCCTCTTGGACACTTCTTGAACATATGCATATGCTTATTCAGGTGTATACTCAATTACATAACACATGTTTTAACTTAAAACAATCATCATTACACTTTTTGGACACATATACTACACTTGCAATTCACTTCTTGAAACGTGTTCGACATGAGTCATGTTCGTTTCAGCCCATACCAGTTCAGAACTATCATTTTAATGGGTTAATTGTATATCTAGTTCAAAAACTAACGGTTTTCCCATTTATAATCTACATAATAAAGAACCATAAAAAATGATATAGAAATTTTAATTCTCATAACAGATGACCGAAAAACAACATTGATTTCATGTAACTTGATTAATTTTATTACATATAAATATACATAATATATACATAATATGTGTGTGTGTGTGTGTATTTCACATGTAACTATAGAAATTAGTTATATAGTTATATCTATAAGTATATCTATATGTATGTGTGTGTGTGTAAATATATACATATATACATACATACATACATGTGTGTGTGTGTATACATATACACACACACACGTATATATATATATATATAATATATATATATATATATACATATACATATACATATATATATATATGTGTGTGTGTGTGTGTGTCTGTGTCTGTGTCTGTGTCATCTGTGTGTGTGTGTGTGTGTACACACACCTATGTCCCCGTACCCTACATTTTACAAATTTGCTATGTCCAATACCCGTATCTGTACCTGTTTCCAAGCAACAGCCAACATAGAAAGGCAGTTTGCTCAATTATGTACGTGCTAAATAAGAGCCTAAAGCGCCAAGATCACTTAATGTGATCAGACAACTATTCTTCAACAATGCATGTGAAACTTTTCATGATATAATAGCCATAATTATGATACTCTGCCTGAACTTTGTAGACTACAGAATTATCTAACTGCTACATACACTCAAGGGAAGCCTTGAAGGCCATTGCCGCTCAAATTCAGTAAGAAACATATTCTTCACAGGTTACACCAAATCTCTACTAAGTTAATGATGCTAATTATAATAGAGCTGCAAATATTACAAGAGAAGAAGACTAAAAAGATGTGAATAACTGACCTGATTCCTGAATGAATGCAGTTTTTGTCCGATCAAAACTAACTTTTCAAAGTGGGCCTTTAAAGTGTCCTCCTCTATGGGTCCTTGCAGGTGTTGAAATAGTTGTATGGCACTTCCCTGATGTCAATAAAAGATATGGAACACCATTAAATTCATTTTTGATCCGCCGCTTTAAACATAAACCATGTCCAAGTACTTTTGCCTCTTAACAACCACATAACAAGGTGTTTAAATCAGTTTTATTTCAGTTTTGATCTCTTCAGCTCTAGGTTTCCTTTTGACAGTTTCTGCAATACTGTTGTTATTTTCGTTTCAATATTTATATAGTAAAATAATTAAGTTTTCAGGTACAATATATAGAAGACTTCATTTTTTTCAATACCAAATGGGGGATTTTGTGACATTTATTCAAATATTACATTCTCTCTCTTCTGATCTGCTTGAATCTGATCAACTTCAGGAATTCACTTGAGATTCATGGTCAAATAACATGTTTTAATGATCAAAATGAGGCCTTCCAAATTTTATAGGGTACAACATGTTAATGTAACTGATCATGCAGTTGAAGATAGAAGACTACAGATGAAAAAGCAGCAAGGACTAGGGGGAACAAAAAAGGGAACGGATTGAAGCAGGAAAAATAGATATGGTATTTACTTTAAAAAGAGATATTAAGGCTGTAAAAAAATATCAGTAGAAGATTTACAAATTTAATATAAAATCAAGAAGAATTTTTCAAAACAGACCCACTCCAAATTTTTTTTCTTAAAACCGACCCGTTTTTATTTATTTATCAAAACCGACCCGATTTTGTAATTAACAGCTTAATCACCTTCCTAAACAGTCGGGGTTGGCAACCCCGACTATTTAGGACCTTAATTTTTAGGGTTTAAGGCTTCTAATTAGGGTTTAACACCTTCCTAAATAGTCGGGGTTGCCAACCCCGACTGTTTAGGATAGTGATTAAGCTGCTAATTACAAAATCGGGTCGGTTTTGATAAATAAAAAAAAAACGGGTCGGTTTTAAGAAAAAAAAATTGAAATGGGTCTGTTTTGAAAAATTCTTCTAAAATCAAGGCTATATTCTTAGCAAATAATGATATGTGGACTGGTTTCAGGTCCAAAATGATACATTGTGATCGGAAGCTTAAATGTTTCTATGTGATCAGCAGCCAATATACTACAATACCCAAGTCACGCAACAAGTAGAAGTTCAGAGGCCTTGCCTTTGGAATTCCAGGTATAGTAGACGGATAAGGTTGAGATGTGCCTGAATCCTCTGCACTATCAGCCCCATCACCAGCACTTTTTTCCATAAGATATTTGTGACGGTCCTTGCATTCTTTGGGTTTCCGAAAAATGCACTACAAATATAAAGTAAGATCGATTTAAACAGTCTTATTTGAAGAGAAACGAAAAATGATCCCTAAACTTTCTAAAAACCACTAACCAGATAATTAAATAATTAATCAATTAAAATCTCTTGTACAACAGCAGCATAAGAAGCTACAAAGGTGGTGGCTGACCACTGACTAGAATATATAAAATAAACAGTAATCATATCAATGACTAGGATGGTGGTAGATAGTGAGGAAAGAAACATTGAATACCACAGATATAGAAATAATATTGATGATCCTGAAGTTTTTTTTTGGTCAATAAATAAAGCTTTTCATTCACCAAGTCAACGTTATTTGTACATCACAATAACTCAGGCATACCCAAGTGATTACATTTGCCTTCGATATGTACTCATATAAACTCAAAAACAGAGACCATTGTACTATCTTGAAGATTCAATTCACTCAAAATATTGCTGAGGGATTGGAAATCGGTACAAAGCAGATAATGTAGTGATCTTAATACTCTTTACCACCACATCAGGACTGGCTGCAGCATTCATGTGCACTCTAATGATGATCCTAAAGTTTGTAAGCCTTAAAATAGATAGGTCTGATATACATTTAATGTCGGTGCACAAGATACAGTCGAGTATGTTAAAAAGAAATACGGGCGAGGAGTAGTTCACCTTGAACTGCAGAGTGCTGTTGATAGCATCACTTACAAGCTCCCAATTTGGACCCATATCATGAACAAAGACAACAAGAGCCTGATATAACATAAGCTATATTACAAAAGGTTTTCAACTATAAGTGGAATGATTCAAATACTGAACAAATCAAACTAACCTGGTCCTCAAAGTTTGTCCATGAAGTCCCAGAATCTGACTGTCCAGCAGCCATCTGAAGAAAGGAACAAGCTTTTGGTGACACAAAGCATCATCAAAGGTGGTTATAATTTAAACATTTTGAGATATGAAACACACTCTTATGATAAATGTGACATTAGACTTAAAGGACTCCGTAATGGCTTAATTTATGCTTCAAGAGGAACAGATTACAACTCATTCATTATGTTCAATTATGAAAGGCTTTTCAACAACAAAGTAAGGCAGAAAGCAAAAAACTAACGTCATCACAAATTGCTGAAAGGTATCCTGATATAAAAGGCACTGCAAAGAGATTATGCTTTTAATCCGATAACTTTAATGAATATGTATCAATGGGAAAGCCCAAAGCTTTATATAAGACATGAGAATCTTAATAACATATTTCCAAACCCAAAGCCTTCTATCATAAACACAAGAGAATAGAAGTATTCCCTTGTTCAATATCAAAAGAAAAAATGAAAATTGATATCACAAGTTATCTTATACTAGCAGCAAAGACAAAAATTGAGAATTAAAATTAAATAAAAACTAGCACACATAAATCATTCAGGATGTAACATCCAGCATAAGAAACAACAGAATGCAGTATACCTTTGTAGTTTTACTCTTTTTCCCCTGATCCCTGTTAGTAATTATCTTAATAAACTTATACTGGCTTGACATGTTACTCGTTTGTGAAGCAACCGGAGAAGACACGGATCCAGTGGCTGGCATGATAGCCTCTTGTGCAGGATATGTCAGTTGCTTTAAGAGCTTAGGCTTTTTAGCAGCATGTTGCCCATATATACCTGTTGCTGGTTTTTTTAAAAGAATAAATATTTAGTACAAGATACAAGGGAATGTAAATGCATACAACAATAGCATTGCTTTGGAATGAATAAGAGGAAAATAAACTGAGATGACTTACCAATATTTCCATTAGAATCATCGTGCTGATCCTCCAATCTGCTTTTGATCTGATCCCTCTGCAGTAGAGCCAATAGCAAATTGTTAGAAGGATGCTGCTGCAACTAGGGTTCAAATCCATACCGAGTAATCATATATGGAGAAAAATGACATGACAGTAAGAGTGTATTCTCATTAATCAGCAGGTTATCTTCTCTCATGCATGGATGGCTATTACTATCCTAAAACATAACTCGGAAGAGGACAGAGACATAACAAGATAACTACCATGAAACAGTGACAAATGATTAAATACAAAAAGCTATATGACATGAAAGGCATCTCAAACCATTTAACTCCTCTTTCATTTGCAGATGATTGATAGATTAACATATGTACTTGAAGTAGTCATACAGCAAGACATGATCCTTTGATAACTTTCATATCCCACTACCATATTATTAGTTAAAACATCCACGAAGCCCTTTAAAAAAACCTTCCTACAGCATGGACGAAAGACATATACTAAAAGAAACCCACAAATCCGTCATCCTGTGTCGAAGAACCTAGAAAGAAGAGAGGTTTGGAAGACTACAGAAATCATGAAAAGAAAAGAAGAATCCAGTGACAGACTACCAGCCTTGACAATAAAAGAGATCCAATAGTCTGGCTACAATCACAAGAGTTAAGGATATTAGCAAAAATGTCTGTAATAGTACTTCTAATGCATCTAATGGTATTATCATTTAGCATCATAAAGTATAGCTGAAATGCTACGGATACCAGAATCAACTGGAACAAAAACACATGAATTGAAAAAAAACAGCAATCACCTGTTCCTGCTGGATCATCAAATCAGCTTGTAACCTCTGATCAAATGCAGAGCCCTACATTTCCTTATGAATCAGCTGATATACATAAATTACGTGTCAGAAGTTAAGAGGAATTAACTCACCTTTCTCGATACAACTAAGACACCAGAAGCTGAGAGATCTGCGCAGTACCCAAAATGCTTAGACTTCTTCTTTTTAGGTTTTGTGGATGTCTCACTACTGTCAAATAGAAATTGTCTCTCAAAATCAACTGTAGACTCAATGTCCATGTTTTTCTTTGGCTGAGACCCACCGTGCATCGAACCTTGATCATCTTGGAGGGAATTAGTGTCTCCAATTGAAACATCTGCCTTATTCGTTATGTTTAGACTTCCTGTAACTCCAGCACCAAAAGGACTTGGCACCCGTTGCCTAGTAGCTGTACGAACACGCTTTATTGGAATTAGACCAGAATTAGGTGTGCTTCTAGGCCTTCTCCCAGTAGTCATCAAAGGTATATTTGCAGATTTGCCTTCCAGGTGTGAATCAAAAGAAAAATCACTACCCACATTGAATGACCGTGCAACATACTTTTGTGGGAAGATCTTTTTTCTCTTGAGAGTTAACTTTGATGACATAATGCCTTCAACTGCTCCAGGTAATAAGTATGAGCCTGTTTCACCTTCTTCCTCCTCATACTCATTCTTCAGAGGTCCATCTATATTGAGAGATATTTAGCACAAGAAATCTAAAGACTTAAACAACAAATAGTATCAGCATAAGATAATACCTAGAAGAAAACCGCTACGAGAAGCCTCACAATCTTCGTGATTCATATGATTAACCATTTTCTGAAAAAAAAAATAATAATTTGAGGTAAGTCACTTGTGTGCGAGTAACAATGTGCTTAGAGTAAGGAACTATTGACTCTCAAGGTGCTTATTAACTATGAATCTGAAAATCGTTGTTATTATTGGACCTAAACATTAAACCCAATCATAGATATGGGAACACGAATAAACATGTGATAATACAAAGTTACGGATGGTTCTGCAGCAAATTAGTTCCAACTGTAAAGGGTTATCTTTTAATGTGTTTCATTACAAAGTAGACTCTGTACGATGCTACAATATATGTATGTATATTCGCATCGTATGCATATAATATACATTTAACTTGGGATTAAGCCTTTGTTATTGTTGTTGTTATGCATTTAATATCTCTGTGTGAGTGGTGTGTCTCTTCTCATGGTATGTCCCATGGACACTATACATGTGCCTATTTACAAAGGTGTGTATACATACATCCATGAGCATGCTTACTCAAATAACTATAAATGACAGAGAGCTTTCCCCCACCCAAACCCTCCACCCCCTCAAGAAAAAAAATACCAGATATGCAAGAACACCCATAACATGAGAGGGGAGAACTGAGTGCACACAATCCTCTACATAACATCACTCTCCTAAATACATAAAGCATGAAGAAGATCCCCCACCCCATCCGACATAAATGTCTGCCGGAAAAAGAGCAAGAGCACAAAACATATAATCTAGCTAGTTAGCGAAGAAATTTTCAAATAATTCATCAGTGCTAGGATTGACAACATTCACTCACATGTTGAAAACAGTTATATATCAGCTAGTATAAGATTAGTCCAACTTATATGAATGAAAGCTTGTGCACATATTTGAAGAACCTGAAATAGGTTCTCTTTTGGATACCTTAGATTGAGGATTTTCATGGGAAAATCTCCTCTACTTAATTAACACACATGGCATGCATGATAAAAGAATAAAAATGTCGACAACATGCTTAACCTCGTAATTCAGCCACTGGGACTCCACTGTATCTCTGTAAACCTGCATCGCACCAGGTGGCACCGTATAAAAGAGGCTTTCCTGGAAGGGGAAAAAAGATGTTGAAATTGGAAAATTCACAGTCAAAACCTGTAATTTGCATAATAAAGGAACATGCATGCACAAAAAGTATCCTGTCACAACAACTGACACATGTTTTCAACTATATACATAGGAAGCAGTGTTAAAGAGTAATATAATGTTCAGCAACATGACAGCATATCCACCAACATCATCTACATCAACTATACGAGAAAAGAATATAATTCATACTTCTGAAATGTCACTTTCACACGATGTTTCTGGTCTGCCTGCATCGTTAACTCTGTCAGGAGTAGACGGTGGTTCGGCCAGGACAGAATGAGTGGATGTGGCACAATCATATTTCAAGAACCTAACTGCATAACCTTGAATAGAAGTGTGAGACGTAATGTTCCCCGCATCCACATCTTCATTGTCCTGCAACTGCCACAAAATTTGTTGAGTTGTTTGTATCATTTTTGTTGATTAAGGAAAAAAGTGAGGAAAGCAACTGAATCCAAAAATGACATAAATATATTGTATATATAAATATTAATCACAGGTTCAACTTCAGCATGGAACAGTAATTTTAGGAAGAAATGTATTGACAATAGATGGATCAAAAGTTGTCTTCAAAACCTCAGTTGAGAAAACATTTCTACTTTCTTTACCCTTATGGCTTGAGGATGATATTGTTAACAAAAAGAATAAAAATATTGGAATAGCAAACAATACTCAGTTCTACAACCATTCAGGAAGCAATTAGTGAAAACAAAAGTTAAGCAGCATACTCAACAGGCAGTTATGTATAGAAAATTGAACACCAAAATGCACCTATGACATGACATTACACAGTTTTTTTGAAAACGTGTCAAAGAAGCACCAAGATGGCATCAAAGAATGATGTAGGCCATACAATCTATGAAACTTGACCAACTGAGAAAATCAGCTCCCGTTAGGCACTAATTCAGTTTTTTTTAAAAGGCAAGCCAGCTGACAGGAAGTAAATAAGGGAAGACAAATCACTTTAATGGAACTCCCTCTCTTTTCTTTTCCCAACACACTCTACAGTAACTCTCATTCGTGAAGACAGAAGGAGTATAGGACTTTAATCAGATGAATGAACAGAGGGTAAAGACAAACTAAAGAATCTTCAAAGGAAGAACCAAGGTTTTAAATATCGTATATCGGAGAAATATCGGACGGCCAAAATCCATAACAGATTGTGGATATCAGGGAATTATTGGGGGCATGTAGTAAATATCGAATTGTCATATCAGATGTGCATATATAATATAATGTCCAGAAATGTAATCTAAACATGCTTGCTGAAATCTAAGCATACAAAAATGTGGCTAATATATGTTTAGGATCACTAACCAAATGTAGAAATTTTCTTAGGGAAAAAAGCATACTAGAAGTTTGCTAAAAAGCTTCATAGAGATGAATTTTTTGCTTAAAAAAAACTTCAAAGAAATTTTACAAAACTATATTGTTTTGTGACAAGCTACATATAAATTGGCCAGCATATCAATGAGATGTCGACCCATATCGGGAATAATAACGCCCAAAAATTCCAAAAAGTGGTAAAGGATATTGAGACCATATCCTTTTACAGCAAGCCTTACGAAAGGATATATCGGCGTCATATCAAGGATATTTAAAACATTGGGAAGACCCCTATCCCCAAGACTTTGTCACTATAACTTCTTTTTTGAAAGTTTCTTGTCTTTTTTCGTTGCATATGGTAGGCTCTAAATGTTGTTAGTTGTGTGATTTTATCATCATCATCATCATCTAATCGAGATACACAGTGATAGAAGCAAATTATGATACTAACAACAACAACAATAATTCGGAATACACCGGCAGACACAAACACACGAGTACAATTTAATAAGCTCCAAGTGCACATGAATGGGGAAACAAATTCAGTAAGCCATAAATGGAGTTCTAGAGTAAAAGGTAAAACTGAAAAGTAATTTGGGACTGTATTTAATGGTGCAATCTAATAGCAATACTAACCATATATACATGAAACCAAATGTCTCTTTATCTTGTATTAAATTAGCATATGATAATTTGAGTTCATTGATATTTAAAAATGTTAGCAAACAGTTTTACTTGTTTTCTTTAGGTCTATATTCTTGATCCTCATTGAAACTCTTTATGAATATCCTGGCTAAAAAAGAAATACGGCTCAGTGGGAAAGTTTTAGCCTAATTTTCACTCTAGGGATGATTTGGAATTAGACTTATCTTGATACTAGAAATTCCAGAAACAAATTTAGTTTAACAATTTAGGCTAATTGCTCTCTATTCCTTTAAAAATATGTTAGTCCTATTCAGAAAACTAATTTTATGATATTGATTCATGCCCATGGAAATCCCTACATTCAACTCAATCATGGTTATTCATCAATTACCGAGGAACCTAAATTCCAACTTTAGTCATGATTTATTGAAGGTATGCTTAGTGCAAAATAAACAGTTTAATTAGAATGATATTCCATCAGAAGAAAGAATAAAGAGTTTGAATGCTAATAATAGAGGGTCTGAATTAGTATTTTAATCATTACACTTATGAGCTAAGTGGAAGCTTAGATAGATTTTCTATCAAGAAATTGATAGCAGGAAAATTAGACCGAACGGAAGTCCTTCCTTTATTAAAAAGGCAGTAGCCTAAGTGGAAATGCAACTCATTCTAATAAATCTATACATCAGTCTTGACAGATGCAATTGACGTTCTGTTAGGTAGTAAATAAGCAGTACATATATGTCAAAAATGAATACATACATGCTAAAATGTATTGTATATGTGCATAAGTATAACATGAATAAATATAACACATACATGTGAAAAGTGTATCCATGCACAACCAAATGATTCAGACAAATGCATTAATTACAAACATAGTTATATCTTAATATTACACAAACATCATGCACAATCCATTTACTGCAAGAAAATTCAAACCATAATACATTTGTAAGTCCATAATCAGGTCAATCTAACATGTAAGCCATTACAGCATCAAAATTAGGCCAAGTTCTAACTAAAAGTAACTAATGTATCAAAGACCTTTTACTTTCAGAAAATCAATATGTAGCATATCAAACTCCTGCTAACTACTTCTTATGTGAAAAGATTACCATTGTTTCACCTGCTACATTTTACACACTGTTACAACATCGCCTAAGCTTTGCAACCAGGTAGTTCAGGTCAAAATGGTTCAATGGGTCATAAATGCATCTTACCTGTTTAATAGGTCAGGTGGGTTGACTCGGATTATGACACTTACCTTTTAACCTTGACAAAAACACACAGACTTCAGGTCAGACTCAGGTAGGTTCAATATTATCACCCCCTACCTAGCTACATCATAAAAACCACACTGCTATAATAAGTATGATGAAGGATTTATAGGGTACATGTCACTAAATACTGGCAGTCAAAAACAAACAACCAATAATTTCAGGAGAAAGTGCCTAAATAGCCAAACAGCGCAAAATGAAATTCTCCAACCTGAGCCTTTCCATCTTCTCCGTTAACTTTACATGATTCAAACAGATCTGAATTGCACCCTTCACTTGCACAATTGAGTGCCTCTCCAGTTGTTCTTGAGACATCAGCAGAATGCCAAAAATGCATTACAGCTTTGGCCAGAGTTCTGGCTATATTTCTCTGCTTTCTATAAATTATATTCTGCACAAACTCTGAATGACCACTTGATGCAATACTATGACTTATATGTGCTGCAGCTGCTGTCTTCCAAAGACGCTCCTGTTCATATTATAAAAAACGGTGGTTCAAGTGCAGATCTTTGTCGAATAAATGAAACTAATAACAAGCTACTTCTCAATTTGAAATGTCGACAGAATATGTAGTTAAGGTGTGAATATCTTATAAATTTGAAAAAAGTTATAGGTGGAAGATCTTTCAGAAAACTCAGACCTGCATGAAATCATTCGCCATCCATGCCATTTCTTCAAGGACAAAATCCCAATGACTCTTTTGCTGCTTCTCCGAAGACTTATAGGAAGATAGCTGAGCAGTCCTCTTAAGGTTTGCCTGTTCAACAAAGACTGATAAAAACAATCTGACTAAACCAGAATCTCAAATGCAGAAGTCAATCTTAAAACAGTTGAACAAACCTTGATCACCCGTGCTTCTTTCAAAATTGCATCTTCATGAGCCTTCTTTTCCAATTTTAAGTGATTAGCTGCAATACTCTGAACTTCAGAGGCAGTTGATAATCTTGAGATACCCCTTTCAGAAAGAGTTGTTGTTGAAGGTTGACCCGCGAGAACATTGAAACAGCTTATAGCACCACCTGCATTGTTAGTGGAATGGGAACTGTCGCCTAAAGAGTTGTTTAGTATTTTTTGAGTTTCTGAAACAATTTCGCCATTTGATTTCAAGCTCTTTTGAGTTGAAACAATCTCAATTCTATCATCAGATAATTCTATTTCATCTTTAATATGAATTGTTGAGTTGCTTGGGTTTGAGGGAACAGCAGTGATGAGGGCTTCAACACCAGTTGACAGGCCATTTTCGCTTGCGCCTTTATTATCTGTTGTTTTCTGATATGGTGAACCTTCTTTGCATTCTCCATCCGAGTTACCTTCCTCATGTCTTAACATGCTGCATTTTTCACTAGTAGCATTTACCGAAGTCATATTTTCCTTCTTAGTTTGAGTATCTGTTTGCACATCAATCAGTCTCCGAATTTCAGTAAGGCTATCAGTGCCCAATTTGCTATTCGGATCATCACAAAGTACACCAGTCACATTTTTATCTGGGACACTCAAGTCATTGACTTTTTCAGATACATTTCCAGTGGCCTCATGAGCAACCGATTGAAAATCAACTGAAGTAGCTTGATCTTTAGCAGCTTGCTCTACATGTGAACTAGTTTGCGTATTAGATTGGTTTGTGTTTTCAGAAATGTTAAGTTCTGCTTTTCTTTCTAGCACCCTATCTTTTATCACGTTTACACTTGAATGATGTTTCTGCGCCACATCAAGCTCCATATCCAATTTGCAACCGGTGGAGGATGTTTTTGATAAGTCGTTACCCTTTGAAATTGAGTTGGAGACATAAGAGGCTCCATCTTTATCCGTGTGTGCTTCACGTACTGGTCCGTTTCCATCACTATGACCAAGGGTGGAAGATGTGGATGATTTATTACCGTGACCATCACGGCTCGTCCTTGACCGATTCCTTCGAGTATATGCCTGATTTTTAACTCCAAGGTGGAAAATAAGAGAATCCTCTGTTCCCTTGGTATGAGTGCAGCCAGCACCTTCTGAAGTCTGTTCGAGTAGAGAGGCATTTCCTCTTTTTCGTTTTAAATTTTTCACACCAGAGGGAACACTGTTTTCCCCATCAAATAGTACGAGATTGTCAGCAGTATTTGTTTCTCTTTTCACAGATTCCCCAGGTCTGCCACTGCTTTCAATAGAATCTCCATGCCGGGAGGCAATCAATACAAAGCTCCCCTTTGCTTCACTAAATGTTTTGAAAAAAATAAAAATATCAATATTAACTATTGAAACAGCAAGGTTGAGCAAGACATGTTCATTATTAATTTTTATCACTATAAATCTATTATGTGAGTTGATGTATGATAACCTGATTGCACATTGCTCAGCCTGCTGATCTGTGAAAGATGTAGAATGTAGACTGGTTGATGCTGCATGACCAAATTTAAAATCCAAGGGGTTGCCTCCCTGCAAGTAGATGACATAAATAAAAAAAAGATGCACAAAATAAAACATACCACATAACACATATCCATGGCAGCATCAGGGAGAGGGGGAGGGGGGGGGGGGGCTTTCAAGGAATTCTAGTTCTCTTTTCCATTTTTCCTTTACATCACATTCCTGCCTGTAACAAATGCATTGAGAAATTAAAGTTCAGAAGCAATGAGAAAGGAACAATCAATGAAGGTACACACTACACATATGACACAACAAACCGTAATTCTGCTTGTGCCTTCTCGATTGCTGCACGATGGGGTGAGATTTTGGTACGCAAGCGAACTCCCGAATCAACAGCACCACCCATGGAATCAACCAGTGCATTTCCTAAGAGAGCAAACTTTGGTGCATGTCCATACAATTCCCATGTATCGGTTGTTCACTGTATTAATGCCAACAATACCACATCATATGAATTTAGAAGTTGTTACAGAACCGTACAACCACAGAAGGAACGTATGGAAAATTAAAAAAGCATCAATAGTTAAAGAAAAGAATTCACAACAAGATCAGAGAAGGGTACACGAAACTTTGAAGATATAATCAATGAGACACTAGAGTTCATAAGAAATGTAAGTTATAGTCGAGGGCAAGTAGAACAATCACTGAAATTGGTAGCCTAGATCTCTATCAAAAAAGAAAATTGGCAGCCTACATAACTAAATGATCTTTCTTGCAAGTTACAACTTAATTTTCAAATTGGATAATCAGATAGCTAAACCTAAATTCTTCTAATTTTCTTAACATGAAGAGCTAGCAAAATCAGACATCTGTCTAGAAAGGATATGGTACGCTATATCTGAAAATGCACCTCATCACTCCCTTCAGTTATGCAAGGTGTAGAAAAACTAGCATTGATGAAGTAAGTATGTAACCTAATGAAAGAAATTCCAGCACTAGAAAGTTTCTAAACCATATTTTGAATCTTGGAAGAAGCACATAACAGCTTGCAAGCGAGTTTCAGACCATAACTAGAGTATGCAATACTTTCATTGAGATGAGTTACCTTGTGCACGTCTCGAGAAGTCTTTCTAAATTACTGTCCTAAAAGGAGAGTAGAGGGATTATAATGGCTAGTTCAAAGACGAGAAACTTGATGACCATATCCTTTGGTCCTTACTCCAGTTCTTTCTAAGTGGCACTTCGTGTCGTGACCATTTGTAGGATAAGACGAAAGCTAAAAGATAGCTTCTTTTGTTTGCGGTCTCTGGATGCTCCCCACCATATACAACCACTGCATAAGAGAATGTTTTCTCAATGACTAACGTGTGCAAGACCTGCAAGAAATCACCCCTAAATGCATATTATACCCACAGTTAACTCCCCATGATGGACTAAGATCCTACCCACCACCACATTTCAGCAGTCTGATGGCCATGCTGGTTGTACATGCACTAGACCAGCTTCAGTTGAATACTAAGCCTAACGTGGCCCCTTTTTGTCTTTGCGTTACACCAGTCGATGAACACTGTAATACCCCCGCACCGCTCCCTTGCAACTAGAAAGATGGGGTTTGCTCTAATTCCATTTTGTAAGAGACCAAGGAGAACTCACCCCTAAAAGCTCATTGTTTAGGAGGGAACCCGACTCTCTTATAAACCCACAACTAACTCCTTGTTTAATCAATGCGGGGATAAATGGATCCTAACGTAATGAAACGAGAAAAACTGCAGCATCTTCAAAATTTTGGAGGCTCAGCGAAACACGGAATTATATGTATATCATAACTCTCCATAGAATTTAAGAATTCAATAACGCTAATTCAAACTTCTAACTGAACATTAATGTAGAATCCATTTAAAAAAAAAACATACCAACAAAAGAGCGCACTGCAAACAGTTGAGAAGATAATACAAAATAGAGAAAATAATCAAAGAAGAGAATTTCTCCCACGCAATATTCATCAAAGACTTAAGAGGCAGTAATAAAAACTCAAAACCAATGAAAACTAGGGGGGGGGAATGTAACAATTCAAAAACTTTAAAGAGCACTTCACAGAGCTTACAATACCTCGAGTTATATCACGGTTCGAGAACGAGGCTTTCCATCATTCAAGGGTTCGAAAACTAGGGTTTCGAATTGCGGAGAGAACTCAACGAGCGAAAGAGAATGATTAGGGTTTTCGAATGATTCGATAGGATCACACGAAATTAAACAAGAGAAGTTAGCGAATTAGGGATTTCGATTTCTAGGGTTTCCTTTTGAAATTGAGGAGGGAATGAACATCGGGAAGTCGAGCGAACCGTTACAGGGTCGAATCGAGTTAAATACAAACAATTAAGTTCGATCCAAGCGCGAGTTAAACTAGACAAGTAGCAGAGAATTATAAAATGGCGGGTAAATTGGATCCGAACCCGATAACACGATACTAATCAGGTTTCGGATCTCATGTTGTGTTGACTAAAAATTTATACAGCGGTGTTGATCCAAATCGATCTAAAATAGTCATGACTGATTAATTCAAAGAGATGAAAAAGAACAACAAGAGCGGAAGCACTACCCAAATCCATGACGATTTGCACGAATCTGAGTAGGGTTTGAACTTCTAATATTGATGGTCTCTCCTTATTTTCTCTTTAGATGGAGATTAATAAAATAGAGAATGTAACCCCAGATTAGAGACCATAACACATTATTTATAGATGTTGTATTTTTATAATTTGGATCATTATCAAATTATAATTACAACCTGGTATATGCACAATTAGCCAATGATTTAAATTAAGTACTTGTTGACTCAAATTAACTAATTGATCACTTTATGCTAACCAACCTCTAGCATTACACACTAATATAACATATGTGTCCATAATCAGATTTAATCTAACAATCTCCCACTTGGGCACCATATGTTTCCTTAAAGTATGTATAACCTTATAATCTCAAAAATGCTATCACAAATAAGGGTATTTCCAAACAATCTCGTCCATTGACTATATCAATATAGGATCAAAGCGGTCTTCGTCACATTTATCGTAACTAAACTCATCAATAGTCGCATATACCAATATAATCAAATGACATAGATCAATCATGGATGTGCAGTATGAAATTTACATGCAATGTGATCTGTACACACTAGTAGAAATAAGGCCTTCAACTACGGATTTATAGCGACGGATTTTTCTGCGCTATATGTGAACATTTAGCGATGGAACAGCCGTTGTTATACGTCCGCCTGTGTACATCGTTACAACGACAGAAATTTTATTATTGGCGATAGAATATTCCGTCGTCGTTATTTTCTCGGACGGAATCTATCCGTCGTTGTATATCCATCGTTAAAAGATAAATGGTGATGGATGTTTCTGGTTTTGGCGACGGACTTTTCGTCGCTAAAAATAAAAAAAATAAAAATAAAATGGTGCGGGCTTGCACAAAAAATTTGGACAGCTCGCGCCGAACCCGTTGTATTTTCCCTTCTCTCTCCCAAAACCCTCCCAAACCCCCCCTCTCCCAAACCCGCGCCGCCGCCTCCCTCTCTCTCTCTCCTTCCCCTTCCTCTCACTCTCGATCTCTTCTTCCCTCTCCTCTTTCCTCCCCTCTCTCTCCCGCCTTGATCTCCTGCCACCCGACCCGCCGCCCCAAGAGCCGCCTGACCCGCTGCCTCGATCGACGCCCCCTCTCTCTCTTCAAGGTGCATGATCAGCCTCTCTCCCCTCCATCCCTCTTTCTCTCTCCCCCTCCAACTGTCTTTCTCCCTTTTTCTCCTCTCGATCATGTCACCGATTCGAGAGAGAGGCAGAGAGAAAGAGAGATATAGGGGAGAGGTAAATAGTCTTTTTTTTAATTTTTGAATTTATTAATTTTATTTTTTAATTATAAGTAGTTTAATTTTTGCAAAACAAAAAATTTGTGAAAAAAACAAACCCTAATAAAATATTGCAAAACAAAAAAAATTTCCTCTTGATAAAATTATAACATAAAAAAATAAAATTTAGTTAGGGTTATGGTTAGGGTTAGGATTAGGGTTAGGATTAGGGTTAGGGTTACGGTTGGGTGAGGGTGAGGTTTAGGGTTAGGGTTAGGGTGAGGGTGAGGGTTACTGTGAGGGCGAGGGCGGGGGTTATGGCGAGGGTGATAGGGTTAGGGTTAGGGTGAGGGTGAGGGTTACTGTGAGGGCGAGGGCGGGGGTTATGGCGAGGGTGAGGGTTAGGGTTAGGTTTAGGTGAGGGAGAGGGCGTAGGCGGGGGTTATGGCGAGGGCGAGGGTTAGGGTTAGGTGAGGGTTAGGGTTAGGATTATGACGAGGACGAGGGTTATGGGGAGGGCGAGGGTTAGGGTTAGCTGAGGCTTAAGGTTATATTGAGGGTTACAGTGAGGGTTACAATGAGGGTGAGGGTGAGGGTGAGCGTAACTATTTTATCGCTAATTACATAGAAACTGCACACACACACACACTCTCTCTCTCTCTCTCTCTCTCTCTCTCTCTCTCTCTCTCTCTTTCAAACCCTAGAATTCCCCGTCTAATAAATACTGGGATACTTATGAAATTCGGGTATTAATAATTCAACATGTTTTCATTTATTTATTGTTTGAATTTCTATATTGTTTTGATTTGACATTGTTTTGCAGGCTCAAGCTGAAACAGCAAGGAGGAATTGCAATGCGCCTCGCAGTTACGAGCATCACGGGGGCTCCATGTCCTTCAGCCAGCATTATCATCAGTTGGAGCTTGAGGTATATAATTATGACGCCCCTGTTTTCACTCATGGCTACAGTCCAAGGTGAACCTAGAGATGTCAAACCTGCCATGCACCCACACTGTACAACAACAAGTTTCACCAATCACAGTAATATCCTCTAGTGGGGTCAAATAAAAGCGTAGGTACAAAACAGGCGAAGAAGTAGGACGACAATAATAGACATGATAAAGAATATGATATCTCATAAATAAAGGTCATGTCTTAACTAAAAATAAATTGAAATACATTTGGAGTCTGCAATAACATACGATGTCTCAACATGAATCAAAACGAAAAGTCGAACTAAAAATAACATACGATGTCTCAACATGAATCAAAACGAAAAGTCGAACTAAGGCTCATTGCCTTTACAAAATGGAAATAAATCGAACTAAGGCTCATTGCCTTTACAAAATGGAAATAAACTCTAAGTCTGAATAAAATTTAAAACTACAGCGGAGCCTCTAATAAATCTCTCGGGACGGTGACTATGCAAGAACTCCGTCATCTTGCGGCTCTTCGGAACTCCGAGCTACCTGAAAGGGTATTTTTAAAAGAAAAAGAAACAACAACAAGAGCATCAGAGCGCTACAGCAAGATTACCTCCATCCGCCCCCAGGGGAAGGGCTGCTAGATGGAGTGGAGGCTCTATCTATTAAGCATAGTCTACCTAGATTCATTTTTCTCGTATCTCACGAGACTGGCACGTCGAGCTAAATAATCCAAACAAGGAAACCCTCATGTATATACCATAAGTCTCAAATTGTAGATATCTAAACATTAATACCGAACTAAGAAAAGACAATCTAATGAAACCAATAATTAGAAATCCATAACACGAGACTGGTACGTCGAGCAAAATAATCCAAACAAGGAAACCCTCATGTATATATCATAAGTCTCAAGTTGTGAATCTTTAATCATTGATCCCAACTAAGAAGTAAAAAGGACAGTAAAAAAAATAAGATATCAACACATCGTATTTATAATATCTTCCACTATCACTGGAGAGATAGAATAAAATACCAACACATAATTTTGTATACTTTCAAAAGTAACATATCTCAGTCGTATAGTTCAATGATAGGTCGTATTCAAAATCGACATCTGTCATACTTAGGCTATCAAGTAATTGTCTCAGTGCAACGGACTACCCTGTAGGTATCCTGAACTGTGCACATGGCTTATTAGTCTCATCGCGATCTCAGTGCATAACATGAGTGCGGGACGGACTACCAAATAGGCATCCTAGAAATACGGCTCACGAGCCTCATCGCACTCTAGCGCGGGACGGACGACTAGATCAAGCCTCCTAAAATCCGACTCAATGGCCTGTACATATAGAATATCGACGCACTACCTCATGTAGTGCTGAACTGAGCTCATCAACGATATCCACCTAATATAAATCTTTGTATCTCAAGTATCTCAACGCACTATCCTATATAGTACTAAGATATGCTCATCAACAACATTCAGCTCATGTATAAACCATATATATTTGGTATGTCGACGCACTATCCCATATAGTACTGAGCTATGCTCATCAACGACATCCAACATGTATATGAACTATATCTAATTCAAATATGATCAAATTAAAATTTATCATAATCCCCTTGGGATTCTTAAATATATAACATAACATATTCATGACTAAATGTGTAACATCAAGCGGCCCAAAACTCCGCGAACGCACCTCAAAACGGCGTAATACAGCTCCACAAAACGAGCAGGAAAAACAAACGTGACATCTGTTAGAAAAACAAACATATCTTTCTCTAAAAAAAACTATTTTTACAAATAGTTTTCTGTTTTGTAAACTAGATTCATACATCTTTCAAATGACATATGTTTGGTTCAATTTGGAGTTCATTTGTTATCTCAAATCTCCAGTTAAATATTATATATGTGCATCCGTTTTTCTACAGGACATGTTGTTAGTAAATATAACATATCTTTCTCTATACAAACTCTTTTTAAGAATGGTTTTCTGTTTTGAAATCTAGATTCACACATCTCAAATAACAAAAATTTGGTTTAGTTTGGAGTTCATTTTTTATCCCAAATCTCCAATTAAACTTTATATATGTGCATCCATTTTTTTGCAGGACATGTTGTTAGTAAATATAACATATCTTTCTCTGTACAAACTCTTTTTAAGAATGGTTTTCTGTTTTAGAAACTAGATACATATATCTTTCATTTGGCATTAGTTTGGTTAAATTTGGAGTTTATTTTCTATTTATAAATCTTAGTTAAACATGATACAATTGCTGCAATTTTCTACAGAAAATATTTATTTAGTACATCTCTTAAATTTCTCATATATAAATGAAATTATAAAAAATCCTAATGATCATGATCATGATACTATCATAAAAAGCAAGAAAAAAATACTAATCTAGCATTAGTTTATGTTTTAACATTAAAAATTTAACTTTTATCACATCATGTTAAGATTCAAGCATGAAAACACATATTCAACATCATATTAAACATCTAACTAGTTATTTAACTATGGGGAAGAGTTTAGATGAAGATAATATTGCCTTAAACATCGTTCTAAGCCTTTGAAAT